CCCCCCCCCCCGAACGCTCTCTAACCAGCCAGCCTTTGCAGGCTGCTCCCCGCCGGTCCTTCTGCAAAGCGAGAGAGTTCACACGACCTTAAACCCGAGAACGCCACGGGATCTCTGCGCTCAACTCGCAGGCCAAAACTTAACGGCGGGCCAGTATTCCCAACCTCCTAGGTCAGGGGTAGGCAACCTTGGCTCTTTTATGACTCGTGGACTTCAACTCTGTGCTGGCTCAGGAATTCTGGGAGTTGAAGTCCACGAGTCACAAAAGAGCCAAGGTTGCCTACCCCTGACCTAGGTCCTAGGATGAACCGGAGAAGCTGCTGGAGCAGCGCTTGATGTATTCTTCACCTCCGCCTCGTTTAGCCTGTTGTGCAAAGGCAGCCGCTGCTTAGGCTTAGGGAGGTCGTCGGAACCCGGTCGAAGAAAGCGGAACCGCCACTTGGCAGAAGGGAAGGGAAATCCAAGTAGCGCTCTCCCCTTGGGGTCGCGGGGAGATCCGGTAGAACCGAACAGGACCGGATTTCGGGCTATATGCGAAGGCCAAGAGGCCTAAAGCGATTGGGGAGAGACCCCATTTTTCTCAGCACCCCGAAGTAATAGAACATAACGGCCCCATTCCACCAACAGATGAAACTAAGCAGAAGCGACGATGGTGGTGTTTGCTGGGCGGATGTGCGGTAAAAGGTGTATTTGACCTGGTTAAGAGGTTCACACAAACCGAGTCACCGAGTTAAGAGGCGGGAGAAGGCACAGGCCGTCCTTAACGTAATGTACATTTCAAGCAGGTTTCCCCCCCCCCCGCGGTGGAAATCCGCCGGATGGCTTCACAGCACGCAGACTAGCGTGCTACAACCGTGATAATGTAGTTAGCAAGTCACCGAGCCTTCTGACCGTATCCGGGTGGGAAAAACAGTTCCAAATTTATTTATTTTATTTATTATTTAAATTTATATACCGCCCTATCTCCCTTACGGGACTCAGGGCGGTGAACAGGCAATAATAAAAATCACAATAAATATTGAATAAAAAGCCTGCTCTAAAAAACCCCATATAAAACCCCTAGCAAAGCCCAATCAAAACTACGCCAGGCCGGCCGCATGGAATAGATGGGTTTTCAAGGCTCGGCGGAAGAGGCGCAGGTCCGTAGTTGTACGTAGGTCGGGGGTGGGGGGGTAGGTCATTCCAGAGGGCAGGACTCAAATCAGGACTCAAGACGATGGCCTCGTTCACACGACGCTAAGAGTTCGCGACCTCTTTTTTTTTCCTTCTGGCAAATCCTGGGGTAGGGTTGAACGGGCAGGGAATGTTAAACTCTGGCCGTCCCGGGTATGAGATCAGTTGGACTGGATTCACACAACAGGCTATCCGAGGGTAAAGAGGGCTAGGTGGCCGTTTTGAAGAGATCGTGGGAACGCAACCGTCCCCTTTGCATAAGCGTTCTGCGGGAACCGGGCACGTAGGAACAGCGCCTCTGCGGTTTGGCTTGCCCGGGGTTGAGAGTTTTCTTCCACGCGTCGTGTGAACCCCGTTAAACCCTTTTGCACCCTTCCAGTTACAGCTACACGCGTTGCTTCTAGGAAAGCCTTACCCTAGCCCGACGGCTCGTCTTCTCAGCCCCCCCCCCCCCACACGCGGTTTGGACTACAGCTTTCATCTCCCCAGCCACGCTGGCCAAGGACGATGGGCGTTGTAACCAAACCCGTCGGAAGAGCACCCGGTTACGGAAGGACGGCTCCGCTTTTCGCAACCCGGCTGGTCCATCCCAAAAGCGTCCTCGGGGCAGCAGTCAATCAACGTTTGGAGAAGGGAATGGAGAGGGAAAGGAGAGGGAAAGGAAGCGCTAAAAGAGAGAAGCAGAAAGAGGGGAAGGAGAAAAAAAAAAAACCAAAAAGAAAAAGAAAAAAAAA